CTTTAGTTTTCGGAGGAGGTTCGTTAGTTTTTGCTCAGTTAGTTCCGTCATGTTCTTTTCGTTTGCTGGTTTTATGAATTTAGATTCGTCGGATAGGATGGTCAGCATTTTACTTACGTAGTCTTCACGATTCATGACTACGATTCCCCCACCTTTATCCGGGCGTAACAGAATAATCTCTTCGTTGTTTATTAATTCCTTGAGCTCTTTATAGTGTTTTTCGGTCAGTATTGACTTTCCATTTGGTTTGGTATTCATAAATTTATGGCAGCTGTCGAGGACTACCGACCTGAACTGTTGCAGGTTCTCTTCGGAAGTTGGAAGACTACGTAAGTAAAATGCTGACCATCCTATCCGACGAATCTAAATTCATAAAACCAGCAAACGAAAAGAACATGACGGAACAAACTGAACAAAAACTAACGAACCTCCTCCGAAAACTAAAGACTGAATCATTCATCGATCCTGAAATTTTCGAATCGTTGAAACCATCGGGCTCAAATATACCCCGGCTATATGGATTACCAAAAGTGCACAAGAAAGACGTACCTCTCCGACCCATCCTCGATATGACTAACTCACCTTATCACAGTACCGCACAATGGCTAGTAAACATACTAGAACCAGTCAGAAAGCAAATCTCCCGCCACTCACTTTGAGACTCCTTCGATTTTGTCGATTCCATTGAAAACGTCAGCGTTTCCAATCAAACCATGTTCTCACTAGATGTAGTATCACTGTTTACAAACGTTCCACTAACCGAAACAATATGCTTTATATGTAAATATATTGATTCAAAGGAGATGAACATTGGTATACCCACGGACTATTTGAAGGAACTCCTATTAAGATGCACTCTAAACGTCCAATTCACTTTCAATAATGAAATATATAGACAAAAAGATGGTATAGCTATGGGCTCACCACTCGGCCCGCTGCTTGCAGATATTTTCATGTCAAAGCTGGAAAATACACACCTAAAGAAGACAATAGATAACTTCGGGTTCTACAAGAGATACGTGGACGATACTTTTATTATCGCCAATAATGAAGAAAATTTGGAGAACATATTGGACTTCTTCAACAGTTGCCATCCAGCAATCCAGTTCACACTAGAGAAGGAGTCCAACGCAACAATATCTTTTCTGGACGTGCAACTAGCAAGACGTGAACAAGATGGGACACTCAAAAGATCCATTCACAGAAAACCGACATGGAATGGACAACTCATCAGCTTTTACAGTTGGGTGCCTCTATATACAAAACGAAATCTAATCCGCTCACTGACTCACAGAATCCACAACATTTGCAGTCCGGAAACCATAGAAGAGGAGCTGAAGACCCTGAAAAGAATCCTCCTTGAAAACGGTTACCCGGAACGTTTCATCACAAAAGCCATGAAGCCCAAAACACAAAAGCCGTCAATGCTTACTGCTCCCAAGAAACTTCTCTATTTGAATCTACAATTCAACGGAGATTCTTCGGCAGAAATACTGAGAAACCGCCTGTGCCGCTCACTGAAGAAAACCTTCTTCGCAGCTGAACTCAGACTAACTTTCTCTACGAAACCAATGATTCGCACGAACGTGAAGGACAAGCTTCCACTGGGGGCCTCATCAATGTGCATCTACCAATTCACCTGCTCATGTGGAGCTAGGTATGTCGGCCGTACCCAGCGTTTGCTATCCAAACGAATCAGCGAACACTTACCTTCATGGTTTTATAAAGGAGAAAGAAGATCCCCCCGCCACAGCTCTATCCTAGAGCACTTGATCGAATCCGGACACCAAGCAAACCCACAAAGCAACTTCTCAGTTATCTACACAATACGTGGGAATCTTGCCAAAAGAGTACGAATTAAACTTCTTCAAACTGCAGAAGCAATGGCAATTCACATATTGAATCCTGAACTCTGCATACAAAAGAAGTTTGTTCAGTCACTAAATCTACAATGGTCCTGATCTATCTCAACACCAAATACGTAATTTTGTCTTACCTCTTTCTTCTTTGTTTGTCTGTTCCTTAATTGCATTGTTTTCTACCCCCACCCTCTATTAAATCTCTACCCTCATGACGACTGTTGCTAACTCCATTTTCGTTTATTTTTAAGTGAATTCTACTCAGCTTATCAACTTAACTCTCATCCATTTTCAAGTGAATTCTACTCAGATTATTAACTTGACTCTCATTCATTTTTCATTGAACCCTAGCAATTAGATTACGTCACCCAACCAACTTTTGTAACTTTATTTTAGTTTCTAACCGATTAACGCCTTCTAAATTACGTAATTTGTTGTCAAAAATTAACAATTGCATCTTTGGAAATATTCCTTTTGTTGCCAAGAAAAATTACTATAAATATATTTCAGTCAATACTTTTCCTAATGTTTTATTATAGTTTTATAGATTTCGTTGCAAAATGAAATCAGAAATAAATCACTGGTAACCTTGTAGTACTGAATATCTATTCCTTCTTATTTACCCAATACTCAGACTAACCATCACCAACGACAAATTAGCGTTCGGAAATTGTGAACAACACTTTTACCACAGAGTCACATTCGTTAAGGATAGGTATTCGGCGATGATGTATATATTGCCTACAGAGCCACAATCAAAATTCTTATAACTTTGAATTATCGGGCGGAGAAGTTTCTGACCAATGGATGGCCGTTTGTGGCCACCTTAAATTGATGAGGAGTCCAACACTTAGACAAAACAGTTGTCTATTGTCTCTTATTTATGAATGTATTACTAGTCTACGTTATTTTATAAGAAAATCTAATCTAAATACGGTGAGGAGGCCTCAAAATTAATGTGACAGCGAATTTTCATCCAAAATAGCATATTACTAAAAGATACTTTCCTGAATGGCACTCAATCAGCATCAATAAACTTCGAAGATAATAAAAACGAATGAAATGAACAGTTCAAACAGTATATGTTCAAAATACATAGCAATAGAAATGGGTAATTCATTCCTTCCTGCACACTTCTTATATTCTTTCTGTTTGCGTAGCCGTTTACGCCAACAACAAAATTCATCTCAATTATGCTTAAAGTTGGACTGGATTATGCGTCAGACTGTATGCTGGGAATGAGGAGAGGAGACAAGAAAATGCTGGAACACCAGTAAGAAGACTCTAGTAGACCTGGATTTTACGTGTGGATGATTTGTGTCTAATGTCACACAAATTCGAAGACCTACAGGGGGAAATCAACAAACTGGCTGAAAAGGCTGGCAGCAAAGACAGGACTTCACTTGAATACAAAGAAGACGGAGGTGATGAAAATAGCCAACCAACAACAAAAACAACCAGCACCAGTCACTATCAAAGGGAGAGATTTAACAAAGGTTGCCTCCTTCACTTATCTAGGAAGTATCGTTTCAACCAGAGGCGGAACAGAAGAAGATGTCAAGGGCAGGATCGGAAAAGTAAGATAAGCCTTCATTAACCTGAAACCAGTTTGGAGATCTTCTGCACTCCACAGAATAAACGAAAATATTGGAACTTTAAACACAAATGTGAAGTCAGCCAATATAATATAATTTGGTGTTTAAAATGAAACATACATCTAATCAAAAATAAAATAAATCAACTGAAAGATCCCATAAAAATGATGGATAAAAACAACTTGATTTACAAAATATCTTGTGCTGACTGTCCGACTAAATATGTGGGGCAAACGTCCAGACCACTCAAAATGAGAGTGAATGAACATAAACGCCTAACCAAAGGTCAACCAACAGGAAAACAAGCCTACAAGAATCTTGAAAAAAATTCATCGATAGCTGCACATGCATGGGACAAAAACCACAATATCGATTGGGACAATGTGTGTATTCTAAAAACTAACATGAACAAATGCAAAGAAAGACTTATAACAGAATCGATATTCATTAAGGTCACACCGGATACATGCAACAAGGGTGACTCAGTACAACTATCAACAACTTGGAATATAATTCTGAATACAAAAACATGAATGAACAAAAATAATGAACTATATATATGAGTACAAATCATAAATGTGTGAATCAAACAATTCCAACAGTGGTGTGAACACGGGCAGTAATTTTGCTCGAAATATTACCAATAACAAAACTTATCATTGTGTGTAAACTATTGAAATATAATTATACTTTATTTGATCTAATCCACAATGCTCAAACTTTTTACTGATACTGAATCATTCCACATATCTTTTTCTGCATAGAGGAATGTAAAATTTGACATACTTCACACTACTTATTCTTCAGATTCAAAAGAAAACCAGCTGAATATCTTTTGATCGATAATCAACAATAACAGGGCATTTCTAGAATCCAGTTTAAATACGGTTAAACAAGAATTTATAATTTCATAATATCTCCATGTTTCACACGTTTGGCGTTAAACAGTTTCAATTTACTATTGTTTGTTTCTCTTTTCTGTCACTTTTTTAAATAAAATGTCTACTTCAATAGACTGTATACTTATTTGTTTGATTTAAGTGTGCATCACAAGCGAAAATATATGAGACAATATGTTTAAGAATTATTCAGAATATCCGTAGTCTCTGTATACATTTGAATTTTGTTAAGCGTTCATTGCTATCCTTTAAGAATGTTAACATGTCAACAGAAAACTTTGCGCAATTTCAGCTATCAGCCAACTGCCTGTTATGGTTATCAAAATTCTTAAGAAAATTACAGATTTCATTCATGCCTAACATGAAGAAAACGACTCAAGTAAATAATTATGAAAACATCTGGGAGTTTATACGCAAACAAATAAAACCGGAGCATTAAAGCTGATCATATATTCTCCTAATACTAATTTAACCCCTTAATTTTGCACTGCAAATTGAAACAGCAGGATAAATAAACCGCATTCATGACTTTTCAATCTAAGCAAATCTCTGTCCGAGTTAGTAAGTTTCAAATTTACCTTCCTACAATTTGATGAACATTTCAAATGGGAAGAATCTGTGTCTACTTTTTCATAAAGGAAGACAACTTCTATCAATTAAAACACAAATAGTGTTTATTAAACTAATCAATTATATAAGCAATTTTAGTTCTCATAATAAAATTAGAATTCTTGTAAGAAAGACAAACAAAAATGTACAGTTTGAATAAACTCAGTAAACTGTCATTCCACTGAGTATATAAAATAAAAAATGATATAAATTGTCTAAAAATGGTATTGATTGTTGTAATATCTCAATTGTTTACTTCTTCACACTGTAAAAACTGCCAAGAATCATTGAAGACAATCATACTAGCCCGATGATTACAAAATCCGAATGACAGTCACATTTTCAGACTTATCTTTTCGTAATACATGGTATATAATTGATGCGACAGCTGTCAAAGTTAGGATACCAACGAATATTATCAACACAATGATGCCCATTTCAACTGTTAAACATGAAAAACAAAAGAGTCTAAGATTAGTAAATCATATAAACATTTGTCAATTTTCAAAATGGTCAGTGTGATATTAAATGTGGGGCAATAGTTTGTCAAAAACAAAAGTACGCAGTACAAACAATATTTTTATTCAACTCGGATTTCATATCTGAAATAATAAATCTTAGTGATACCGTACATCTCGTTGTGAAAGTAATGGGATTAATTGTAGTATCTCAGCATTAATCATTTAAAAGTAATCACTGACACGTATGTCTGTTAACTCTGTATCACCAATTCTTCTGCTTAGCAATTTTTCAGTGAGATACATTGGTGGTGTGTTGTTTAACGATGTGATTTTGTTTAAGTGAATGTTGGTCATTCCGGCCTTCAACTGTCTTTGGGAATCGTTGATGTATAATTCTTGTGGACAGAGTTTCGATCCCACCCACCCCCATCTTGTCGGGAATGTTCTACTGGATTCTAAGCTATCTCATATGGTTGAACTATAGTCAGGTAATTTCGTTCTACACTATTCGTTTTGTAACTCAGACTACTGGATCTGTACAGCAGCTGCCTAGCAGCACTGTTGAGGTGATTTTGAGTTTTTGATTTTATTATTGTTGAATGGAACCACATAGATCTAACCACGAACAATAATCCATTTGCTGTCTTTGGATTGTTTTCTGAGTGTGCGTCTCTCCAGGAAGTTTTGTCAGCTGTCCAGTAGGACGCAGAGATCGTTTTCTTGCGCTCAGACCACAACAAGTCGGTTTCGATCGTTACAGCACCAGCTTACAGTGAAAGTGAATTCCATTCTGACCAGACAACTTTCAGAAATTTCTACATCCACTGACTAAGGTTAACTTATCTCCGGTTCATTGTTTTCTTCACCCACCATTGAAGGACAGCCGAAAATGATGACTACAAAATCCAACTAAATTACAAATGTTGTTACGGGGAAAATTCAGACAGATATCAACAAAATACCCCCGTCAACAATTTAAGCGAATTTTCCGGCCACTTCTGCAAATCAAATAGAGATAGAAATCTCGGACTATACACATTTGATCATAGAGAATAATAAAAGGACAACTGCAGAGAATAAAATTCTCATTTCGACGAAGTCATCAACTAGGCTGTACATTCGTTTATCTATAGTAAATGGGTGAGGAAGTTCTAGAACTATTTCCGGTTAAAGGCCAAATTAATAAAATTACAAAGTCTAATAAACACGGCGATCGGGTACAGAATATATTAAGGTAGACAGGTTTTAATACTTTCCCAGGAATATTTCAGGTCAAAGGTCAAATAAGTAAAATTACAATTGGGAATGAAAATGCCATAATAAACAGGGGAGTGGAAGGATAAAACTTAAACAAAGTAGCATCATAATTACTGAGAAGATTGACTTGCTGTGCAATTAGGTTATATAAATGCAAAAGTAACACAATAGACAGGATGTTTGGATAAAAAATCTAGTGGGATCATAACTAATGTAACGAATAATTGTTTATACAATTAGCGATTAAATATGTAGAAATGATAAAATAACAAATAGATGCAGGAAGTTGGAAGTGAAAATGTGGTAGTGTAAATAGAGATTAAGAAAAACTTAAAAATAACATGAATAAACAGGAAGTTTGGATAAGAAAGGTAATGATGTAGTCACTATTACCTGTTTATGATGGCCATGGCAGGGACAAGGGTTGGAAGTATTTCTTTTGGAGCAGGTTTGAGTTCCTGATGGCTAGTCCTTTGGCTATGCCCAGATGTCTTAACTTGACTCCTTTGATTGGTTTGATCGAATCTTGAAAATGATTTTCAAGGATTTTTCAAAAAGTAATGGATGTTCTGAGTTGACCAGATGTTCTGTCACTGAACTATATATAAAACAACGTTCTTTTATAAGAAAGGCTAAATAATGCTCAACAGAGCGTTTTTAAAGTTGGCGCATGGTACAGCCGATGAATTCAGCTCCTGACGAGAAAGAAAACTGCCATATGAACGTGGAAGTAAGCCAATAAGATAAACTACAATACGCGACTTGCATGAAGAGGTTCTTGCAGGAAAACATCAAGAAATCAACCACGTAGATGAGTGTAGAATAATTCTCGTGGCATGCAGGGAAGTACACCAAGCACCTGAGATATACTAATGACAGCTTGTGAGTGTGTCAGTTTAGCATTGATTGACTCAGCTTAACACCTTTGAGGAGACATAGATTTAGTCAACTTCTCAGGAGTATCTTAACTAGGAGTGCAACGACGAAGGAAACTTGGTTGAAGCAGAGCCTCCTTCTTACTCCTGTCCAACATGTAACATGAAAACATAGCGGACTAAAGTGTCGCTTCATCTAGCTCAAATACTTCACTACGAACATGATCGACAGACTACAATGTGTACCCAAAACATGACAGTCACATCAGGTGTAACCTGTCCATCAGCGAGCTTCCCACATAGAGGTATTTCAATGGAACGAACGGAATGCGTCTTATCCAGCATAATCTCAGTAAGTGCTTTTAGATTTCGACATGATTCTCACCGAAACCCCGCCACCATTCACGATGCTTTGATGTCTTTCTCGTAAATGTTATCGTATACAATGGTGATATTTAAGCGAATTTTTCTCCAAGTAGGAGAGACTAACCTTGATTGGTAGATGAATCAGTATTGCGCGTTTCATCTGTTGATGAATCCGTAGCAGTGCCATCAGTCTCATTGGTTGTCTGTTCCCCGCTGGTTTGTTCGACACTGGTTTCTGCATGAAATGGAAAGAAATACAGTATGATTTTTTTTAAAGATTTTTGTTTTTTCTTGTCTTTCTTCTATTTTTTTGCCGTGTCTTTTGACACTCGATAGTGCATTTTTTAAAATTTCAGTTGCGTTGTATGTCTGGTGTGACTGCTGTTAATCGTCAAATTTTCCCGATATTTTTCCACCTTATATCTGCTAATTGTTTTTCCAGTTGCTGATACGTTTTCATTATATTTTAGAATCTTACTTTAATTTTTGGGTATTCCTCATTTACTGGTTGATTTAATAGAGATTGTGTGATAGAGCTGACATTCTTGTCGATAATTTATCTAGCTTTTTCACTTGATCTGTTTAACGTTTGAGAATTCATTGGCATTTTTTCAACTACTTTACCACCTTTGAGTGACGTGAAGGCGAATTTAAGTTTCGCTGCGCTAATCACTGTCTTGCATGAGTTCGGTTGAGATAAGTGTGTTTACCTACTAGTAACGTATTATCCGATTCTCCCATGTCACATAACGATTTGATTTTTTATTCTATTTTTATCATTTAGCTGTTAATCGAGAAGTTTGCTAAATATAGTATCAGTCTCCGTAGTGATAACTTATTTTATTTCATAAAGCCTAATTTTGGATAATAAAATAAACACTGAAATATTTCGGTATTTTAGAAAATTACTCACCAGGAACGTTTGTCGTAGATATCAGTTCTGTGGAGCTGACTAATTCGGAATAAGTCGTTGATGTCGTATCAGTTGTTGTATCTATATTTTCTCCACCTGCTACATCCTGTGGTATAACAAGCTCGCAATTAAGTAGGAGCAGAAGAATTATTGATACTTTTATCATTCTGTGATTTCGCTCTCCTAAAAAACAAAAATTATATTATTCGAACTATGAATAATATAATGACTGATGGAATATATGTGCTGTATTTGTTTGAATGCTCTATAGTACGTGTGTTGATAGATGTCCACCGAATAATCCCTTTTGGACGTACCTCGTTTTTGTGAACTGTGAAAGAGTCGCTCACCAACTAACCTGATAATTTCTTTCCCAGTCAAAATACTAAGGTGAGTTTGTAAAGAAGTTACTTCGATCGATTCAGCGATCAAACCACTGATAAACTAAAACGTGCCAAGTGTTGATAAAAGCCAACAGACAGGAAATAGAAGTCTGATGTTTCTCTTGCGTGCTTTCAGCTTTCAAATATCTGTCATAAACAAGCATTGTGGTTAATTTTTCTTCTACAATGAAACACTTAACCCATTTTTATCACGAATTTTTCTTAGAAGTGTATCGTGTTTACTAAGTTAACAGTCCTTTGTACTCCACTTCCGTATTTTTACATCTCCAGTCATTCCATCGGTACTTCATCTTCCCCTAAAATTTTGTTTAGTCAAGTGTTTTCCTCTCACTTTCCATATATACACAATCTTAGTAGTTGAACATGGTTTGCTTTTGTTGTAGCCCTCGGTTGTGTATTTTAAACAAATCCATTGATGTGAAAGATGGTGCCTTTTGATCATCTTCTGAACACACAAACACCTAAAGACTCAAAGCTTGTCATTTTATTGGTCGTTGTAGTAATTTGTTACCACAATATTGCACTCCATTCCAAAAACATATCCTTAGATTACTTTTATTCCACTTAAAAACGTATGAGGTGAATATTCAAAGTATTGAACCCTGAACTGACTTAGAACTAGACTGTTTGAAAGCTGAGAAGTTTCAAACTACGATATGCATGCAGGTTACTGGCTTTAGATATTTAATTTAGCATAATATGCCTAGCATGTATCTATGATACAAGTGAACTTGATGTTCAAAGCGTATCAGTGATATGACTTATGATCAGTTGTAGACATCTATAAGGTATTTCCGTACTACTTGTGACACCTTAAGGTTTTATTCCTCCTTCTTCCATGATAATTATGATGATTCATAACACTCGCCTCTACGGCGTCACCTTCAACTTGGTATAATGAGGTCTCTCTGTTTGCCTCACAGTAATATCTCCGGTCTCCGTAATAATAACTCTTAAAGTGCACAAGCTGCTACTGAAACCTTTCCTCCCTGAAGTATGCTACTTTGTCTCATAATCCAGAATACTGGATATTAGAGTTCAATATAGTTTCATGTTAACCTGTTTACCGGACATGTTGTCCAAAAGGGCACATGTACTCAATGGGTAATTACACCACAAATCTAATGTGTCTGTTTGCTCACGTCTAATCGCATATGAATCTTTTTATTTCGTCCTTATGAACGATTTCACAAACAGAGTTAGCCTAACGTACAAGCCAATTTCACCAATTTCATTCTGCTCAAAGATTAAATAATAAAGTGTTCCAATGCATTTCCATGTGAACGCATTATTGAACACCTGATATTACTGGCATCCAGTGACTTGTCGCTTGATTCAGACTTTTCTCATATTGCATAGATTGTGCCAGTGTGTAGTGTACTAGTTCTTCCAGCCTTACTGCAAGCAAATTATTATCACAAAAATTGCTTTCATAACTCTTTCATAATTTTAACCAATGTGCTTGTTTATATTCTTGCTTTTGCCATTTTTCACCAGCATGCTTCACTGACTATCGATTTATTCTGCTAATTTCATTTCAAAAGAATTAAATAAGCACTTTTAACGGGTTAAAGAACTCTTTGACTGCAACTAATTAACTGACAGATTATACTGATAAAAATATAAGAAAAGATTTCATAATTTCATTCCATACAGTAACATTTTGTGTGCTTAAAAAATGCAGAAAAGATTCTTATTCTCAAAATGACTAATTATTATTATGCGGATAGTTGAAATTTTCAGAACTTAATTTGTTTTATCAACTAAAGATCAGAATCAGTGAAGTATGTATTTCGTGAGTAACATGAGTCTGAGGCCTACTTGTCAGTGACAGCGTTGTGATGCATTCAGTCACCCCTTATCATGTATCATCTTGACATTCAGCAGAAAATTTGCAAAGCCGCTTTCTATTAATTCAAACGGCTTCGTCATATGAATGTAGTCATATCAATCGATGAAGTGCCTTAAACAATAACTCTTCAGATGAATACGAACTGAAGCAAAGTCGATAACACAGTCAGATAAACAAAGAGACCAAGAAAACAGTGAATTCATTTAATATAACTCAAGTTTGTTACCTATAATATCTTCACAGTTATTTCTGGCCATATCTAAGTTTTCTTCAAATCAATATGACAGGAAATTCTTTCTCTTTTAGATGATGGATTTTCAGCCATTGAGTCATGGTTTTTCCGACCGGGACTCAAACTTAGCACTGATTGTTTCAAATGATGGTTGATGAGTTCCAAACTGCATGAAATGCCTGTTCTACATTCCCTGTGAAAGCTACTACCAAACAATCAACCGGGAATTGAAATAATGATCTCGAAATATCAGTGCTCAATTATAAGTAAAAACAGAAAATGCAAGTAAAATGGCTTAGGAAATTAGTCAGGATAAACACTAGAAAGCTTTGATTATCTTTTGTTCTTGTAGAAAGACAAACAGTGGTCATGAAATTCGGTTCTCATTGAACCTTAACATTTTCACAATTTGGATCGTTTCATGTCTGAAGTTTTACTAAGCCTCTTAGAAATACGTCATACATTATAGTGTAATGTTATTTTCTTGTTTCCTAGTGGAATCAGCTCAACGATTAGTTTTTTATGTATATATTTAAACCACTCAGTCACTAACAAATTAGAATACCGTTATTAAAAGGCAGAATTTATCGAAAAAATGTGATGCATTTGAGAAATACATTTCTCAATATTTGTTCACGCACTCACTCACTTATGTGATTCATATGAAGAATTAAAATATCAAAAATCAAGTAGATTAAACGAAAACAATAAAGGATTTATGAATAACGAGAATGATGATTGATACTACTCTCGGTAACGTAATCAGATAAGGATTTTCAACGTAGGTAAAGCGTTTAGATTATTACTGTAAGTGTAGAACTTGGGCACTGTGGTAGAATGGAATTCCGTATTAGATAAGTTTATTTTTAAATATCACACATCGATGCAGTACTAACAACTGGATGACGTTTCGAGCACAATTTATTGCCCGTCATCATGTCAAGGATGATAAGTGTTAAGGTGAATTAGTTTTGTGCAAACCCGGGGATTAGTTGTATAGACGGCTATCACTACAACATATTTCAGTATGCGCCCCTGCGAGTTTGTATGTATAATCTTAAGATCTTCCTATTCATTTTAATGTGCTTTGCTATAAACGATGTTGGTAATCCGCCACCTGAGTTTACGCAGGTTGTTTGGTTCAATCATTTTTTACACTAAATGGTTATATTTTCCCCCCTTCTACATATGTAACGTGTGATTTCTGCTACCACTGTGTCCACTAACACGTGTAAATTAATATACAATATGAGATGTGCTATAATCATCTGTGAGAATTTGAGGTGTGAGGTGGGAAGTGTTTTTGATGTGTTTTTTCATTTGTAACCTGAAAAGTTGATAGAACTCTGTCTGTCTTGAAGAAGAGATAACGAAAAAGGGCGAATTCTGGCTAAAAGCAATATATTTCACATCTGTAGAAAGAATATACCAACAGAATGAAGGAATAACCACAAGATCTCTTATCTCACTGATTATGGTTGACATATTCAAGGATATTTTGAGAAAAAGTGCACTTAAATCATTCATGCCATCAATAAAATGTTGGTGAAGCCAGTAATAATGCAAAAGAATGATGTTGAGAAATTTTTCTCAGAAATAAACACTCATACAGACTCAATAAAATTCACTATGGAAATGGAGTATGAGTTTGGGGAACTGCTTATGCTAGACTATAAAATATAAAGAATAACAGATGTGGCACAAAAACGACGACGTGTACAAAAAACTACGCATTGTGGGAGATTCCTTGATTTCTGTTGCCCCAGATAGGCTGAATGTGTTACTTTTAAAACCGTATTACAAACAGAATCACATCTGAAGTAGTCAACGTTTATAATTTAACATCTATTTATATAAGATGGTTATTTTACTAGGGAGAGAAAAGCTACACTCAGTTAGAATGTTAACGAACTCTCTACTTGTAAAGGTTTACCCTCAGATAACTGTATCTACTTATGACAGATATTAAAATTTTAACCTAAACACTCAGTAATTATGTAAACTGAAGACTCTGCATTGATTTTCAACTTCATAATTGTGAAAATATTCATTTATGAGTGTTTATTATCAGTTATGGTTAGTCTTTTTGTTTTGACAAAGAGATATTAACAGTTAATCATTAGCACTAAACATGAGCTGTTATACAATAAAATGTGGAGGTACTCATGCACTTTTAATTCACAAAAAAGTACATTTAAGAAATATGCGCTAATGAGTGGCTATAGATGTCAGGATACTGAGTGACTTATAAAACAGAAATAGATAGAAATGGAATAGGTCATTTAGTTAATTATGAGTGTAAGTGGAAAGAATAATTACTTGAACGTTAGTGAAATGCGCATGCATATCTTAGAGCGCCTTCATGAATGTCAGTCTATTCCCTAAGAATCATGTTATCAATAGTTTGTATGAGGAAGATGCCAGCTGTTTAACCTGTGCATTCTTAAGTGGCTAAAATGAACTATCAGATATTTTATTAACGCATGGCGAATCTTGTTTTTCACTGATGGAATAATGTGTTCACTTAAATAGAAGTTCTCACAGCACATGTACCAAGTTACTGAGATTATCATTCACGTCTAACTTATTATTTCTGGTCACTCTGACATACGATAGTAAGACAATAAATATTACGCATAAAGATTGATTTCCAGACAACCATTCTTACAGAAACATTGTTACAACGACAATCTAAGTGTATTTATCACACTGTGATAAAGCCTTAATGCGTGATATTAGAGGTTTAGTATCTATTGAGTTGGATTACGAGACTGTGGAATCTCAAAAACGGAAGAGTACATCACTTTGTCATTATTTGTTTCTCGTTTACTTTATTCACTGCTAAAATGCTCTGAATGATTTCATGAAATACGGCTACTGTGAATACAGCATGCCAAAAGATGCTTAATATGAGGATTGTAATAAATGGCAATTGTTGTACCTTCTATTCTGAACTAAAGTGAACAACTTATTTAGGCACAAATACTGATAATAATAATATTAGTAGTAGTAGTAAATTTTTGGGGAAGTTGTCATCAAACATGAAGACTTTGCTAAATCTAAATAAGTTTTTCAAATGAAATTAACTAATTCATTTAATGAGAGGGAGAGTGAGAGAGACAAAAGATCTCTCGAGATGTGCATAGATGTGTACTTCATTAAGAACGAAATAATTATGATAATAACAACAACAAAAATAATAACTTTGGTAAAAGTGAAATGTGAACACCAAAATTTTGCATCAATCTAAAGAATATTTTTATGATACTTACTCAAAATATTGGTTAGAAACAAATAGATAGCTTCTTAATCATTACTGGCTTGTATATATATATATATACATTCCAGTTGATCACATACCGATACATTGTTTCTTATGCTCATTTATCTATTAACAATGGTATTGGACACGTTTTTCAGGGTTCTACTTCAGGGTCAGTGCCAACAATAAACAAAACATTTGCACCATTGTCTGTCAGTCATACAAACGAAACTTGTTAAAACATTCTTGTCTTCACCGCATACCTGTTGCAAATGCAAACTCTTCTTTAATTACTTACTCCTGTTTAATTGTCGTCTTGTGATGAAGACATATAGCAGTTTTGATATATTCCACATACGTGGTTCGGGGATCGATCCTCGGTCGACACACTACTCATTCTGGCTAAGCTGGTAGTAAGGCCGTTTCAGATGGAAGGTAGATCATGAAGCTAGCAACCCTAAACCGTAAAATTATTCTGAAAAACCCACTGCAGCTGAAAATTCAAAGCTCTAGCTTAAATTCCTAATAAAATAAATAATTGATAGAGAGAAACACGGATCTTCATACTGTACGCTGAAAACCCTGTGAAAATTGATGATTACCACTGCAGGTACCTGCTCGGAGTATCCCGCTGTTTATCCACTGCTGGTCATTTCAGACACTGAATTCCAGCCCAGTGGCTAAATTGTCAATGCACTGACCTGTTAACGTGGTATTTTGGGTCCGATCCCTGATGGGATCATAGATGAGCGTGGTTGACGAGTCTCAAACTAGGATGAAACAGCTATCCACTTCCTCTTGTTTCTCACTGATTCTCTCATTTCCGTGACCCGATCCATGAGTGTATATATTAGGATTATTGATATAAGTGTAAAAATTGGAGACTGTGGTAAAGTATAACTCTATTATAGATAGGGACACAGTCAATATTCTAAGAAGAAATATAGGCAGGTGGAGAGAGAGATTGGTTACTGAATTCCGGTTCATCAAGTCTCCACCAAACACATGCAACAGAAGTGACTCAACGCAAATACCAGAGATTCGGAAGATATTATTACCAGTCGAATCAGACGATAATAAATAACGTTAAAATGTATTCAATTCACAATATAACATTCTAACAAGCTACTCATTTTTACTGTAAAATACATCTTATTTCCCATCTTATTGTATTTTATTGATAACACTAATATTATTTCCGAATGTACTTTATCTTATATTTATTTTATTCGAATGTCTAATCAATTTTACTGATGTATATAAACGAAGGAAGAAAGTTATGCTAGTACCTTGATACGATTAGGAGCAGCAATAATTTGTGCTCGAAACGTCATTAGTAAATATCACTGTATTACAGCATAATGGAGTTATACTCTACCACAGTGCCCACCTTTTATGCTTATATCAATAATCTTACTTATGTACGCAAACGGAGATTACTTAGGTCAATGCCTCTCCTCCTGGATTTCACTTGTAATGAAAATTATTTGGAATGAAACAATTTTCAATTAGGTTGGCGACTTTTGTTTAGATTTGGTTTTAACAAATCTTCGAAGTTATATATATATACTCCAAACTCAGGCTCAGAGCTTCTTGTTGATTGACTCATTTTTTATAATCTGAAGGATTTTGTAGAAACTTTCGCCAAATATATACTACTTACTAACTTCTCAACTGTGCCTTTGAGGTATATCCTTAAGCAAAAGTGTAAACAGAGGAGAAATTCAGTCTTGAAAGGTATTTCATTTCAGAATTTAGATACACTGATTTATCTTTAAAAAATAAGGCTACCTTTCATTGTTGTCATAGAGAATACAAATAGAGTGTGAAGTCTGAAACATATTTGTCATATGGGTATGACTCACTTGTACTAAAGTATGGGAACACTATGAATTCTCTTAACCGTATTTCCTCATTCTACAGAACTTGAGTTACACTTGATAATATATGGAATGCCTTTCTCACTGCTTAACTGTGAGTCTTTACTTCACAGTCCCTCTAGTCTGATAGATTATCTGCGTGTCAAGAGTAGCGAAAAACTAATGTCTCTTCAAGCTACCTAGAATGTTACATCTAAACACGTGAAATAACGCCTCACTAATCATCTGAATAAACACAGAGGACATTTCGGTTTCTAATTCATCATTGCACAGCCAATATATTCTACTATTCTAGGGTCTAGTGTACTGTTCGGCCAGCTACACTATAATAAGTGAAGAAATAAAAGCTAGGTCAGGCAAAGATTTAGATATTTAGAGGAAACTGGGGGAGATATTATGTGAGAATGTGGCACAGTGTGATTTATCTTCAACATGAATTAGAATATCGCACTTATTTATTGACTTCTAGTTCTTCCTTTTGTAATGTGAGATTTTGTTTTCTTACGAGTTGATGACCAACTAATATCAGTTAGAGAACTATTGAAAGCCAGGGAGTACTGGACAGCTGCTTTTCATCCTAGTTTGGGAATCGTCGGCAGTACGCACCCACTGGGATTCGAACCCAGGACCTTCCGGTTACAAGGCAAGCTCGTATACCATTCAGCCACTGGGACCCGATTCAATGGCTCATGAATTCTAACTTCTATCAATTCGTGATTTAGCGCGACCCCAACCATTGTCGTTGGTGGGACATCCATCCACACACGTGACATCTAATTGGACCTCACTGGTCACGACTTCTCACTAGAACTCCAGGAAACCCCATCCTGTAGCAAGTCGCTAGCGAGCATCAGTGGGTGCGTACTGCCGATGATTCCCAAACTAGGATGAAACAGCAGCTGTCCAGTACTCCCTGGTTTTCAATGGTTCTCTAACTTACAATGGTTATAATTAATAACATTTCATACTTCATTGTTTGAAAGGTAATACAGAAAGCATTATAAGATAAACGCATCCGGAATATAAGGATTAAAATTTTTGTAGCTTAAGTTACCATCAATTTATATACTATCAATCTATGGCAAAAAGAAAGAAAAGGGGGTGAGAGAAGCAGAAAACAGAAACTATAAAGTGTCAATGTCTAAGTGATTACTCATAGACACTAGTGAGTTCAACTCACTAAGCAAGTTTTCAAATTGATGAACTTTGACCTTGTTGAGTTGCCATGTTGACACTGTTTATAAGATTTTTCTGTTTTCTGTCTTCTCTCACCCCCCCTTTTTCTTTCTTTTTGCCATAGATTGATAGTATATAAATTGATGGTAACTTAAGCTACAAAAATTTTAATCCTTATATTCCGGATGCGTTTATCTTATAATGCTTTCTGTATTACCTTTCAAACAATGAAGTATGAAATGTTATTAATTATAACCATTGTAATTTCAGGTAGTTTGCAGCTGATGAGAACCTGTGAAATAGAATGATATCAGTTTATACTGCAAATCTGGTCTTTCTTTCTCTATCGAAATTTATCAAGGGAACCAAATGTATGAAAGTTCTCTAACTGATATCAATCCGTGATCAACTCGTAAAAACATAACTAACGCTTACAAACCAAACTATAGAAGATTGTTTTCTAGTATTTTTATTGTTGAACCTTAATTTATGTATCTTCCGCTTTTGTCTTGTGGGAAAGGAATTGAAATTGAGACAATACTCATCATCTTAGCATTGATACTGTCCGCATGTACATACCAGTCTCACAACAAAATGAAGCACAATAGCATACGGCTATATGCTCAGACCACAAACACACTGGGATCATTAAAAATTTGATTACTATTGAAATCAGGCATATATTTCTGTGAAAATTGGTAGTGACCAAATTGTCTGACACAAAATTTAAAACTATCATCTAACAAATTATCAGATAAAAAGGTGTAAATAACAAATTCATATGGTACGAAAACGTAACAAGCAATATTTAAATAGAGACATCTTGGCATGAATTCTACTGACAAATGAATTTCACCGTCGCTTGTAATTGTCTGCTTGTCTCCTAATTTTGGTATTTAACCATGGGCCTTTCATCACTAGACTCAGTGACCACTTCAGCAACAACTTAATTAAGAATCTAGCACTGTTCCACCATTCAATAACAAACGCTATAGAACACAAAATCACCTTATGGGCTACAAATCTGCTCTGTTATTTCATCTCCTTTGTAGCTTTCATTTTGAACAGTTACTAACGTGAATTATATTTCATTCGATTTATCTTTATTTTCTTCGAAGTAGGTGGTGAACATGAATACATGTTTGATATAATTGTTTATGACTCAGTTGTTGCTGTCTAACTATTCTAGATTGTAAACTAGCTACCTTGGTTTATGCTTCGACCTTTAATCACAAATTTGTGAAATTGTTAACCCCAATGACGTTAAATCAGTTGTATGTGGCGACTGAGTTTACGAAGTGTGTTCATTACCTCATTGTTGTCTTACCCACTTAAATTTTCCGAATCTTTAACACTGAAACTTCGAAACAAATTTCACTCTACTCATCCACTTGCATTCAAGCCTGCTCTGTTGTATCAGTATTCCATCAAGTTTATCCTTTGATGACATAAAATCGTTTGCTTTATTTGTAAAAATGTATTTGTTGACTGAATAACTGTTCCAAGCTAACCATTCTTAAGTAGTCATTCAGCTTTAGAGATAACAAGTCTGATGTCAAACCTACTAACTTTGGTATAACACAGTGAATTCCCATCAGGCTTTTAACTGTCTATAAACTTGATTATCTACTTTAAACATTCCTATTAATAGTAGAAAGTCTTTGCAGTGTCTCCCTCAGAAGTTAAAAAAATATGTATTTCCCTATAAATCTTAAAAAACAGTATCCTGTGTTCATTGCAAACCAACTATTTTTTTTAATCTCCTTTTTCTGTAGAACTGAATGACACCAACCTAAGTCATCAAATCACAGATATGGATGACTACATTTTCCGTAACAATATACTGGAAAGTTCAGATTCAGCTAGAAAAACATCAGCTTCTAAAAATTTCACATGTCCAAGTGAGTTTCACACGACATAAGAGTATCACTGTCGTATTAAGACAGTTGGTCAAAAATAAAGCACTATTTATTCAAAGTTTCAAGTTTGTTGACGTTTACTAGTAGCAGTTATTAACAACTTTGAGAAATCTTTTATTTCTTCTGAACGCATGCCAAACAGGAAGGGAAGAAATTCTGGCGATGCTACCATGTACCTCTTAAATCTTTTGATAAATAGTTTGACTACATCAGAAGAATCTAATATATATAATCGCTTGGTCATGCTTAAAATATAAGCGTTTCCCAGCATTATCCATGGAACATAGGAAACCATAAGCTCCTGATATATGCGATGAATAAAGATGACAAAATATGTCGGTGTTTGCATCATTTCACTTTTCGTGTCGAGTTAGTTCTACCGATAAAAACGCTAGAAAGCACCAAAGTCAAAGGTGGATTAAATATATCAGTTACTCGACTATAAACTGCTCAATTTCATTCAACTGATACATCTGCTAAGCAAATGGGGAAATCGAAATTAGTGCATTTTGTCTTGAAAACACTGAGCATCCACGTGTAAGAAGCTCTTGTTTAGGCATATAATGCGTTTTGTGTGATCCAGAGTTTTTCGACAACTTATCAGTATTTCTAAACAAAACTAATTTACCTCTTTTAATTTGATAGGCTTCAGCATTACTTCCACCGTCATCTTTGACACCAATCGAAATACTGCCAAGCATCAGTGGACAGGTGCATCTAATCAGTTAGTTAAAAACAGAAAGAAACGCATCCACTGAATTTCACTGCCACTGTTGCATATTTCACCTAACTCTAACTAAATGTTTCCATATAGAGCTTCGACTATAAAATATACTTTTTCACTCCTGTTCAACATTTATTAATGTCAGCAAATACAGTTTTATGGACTTCATTCTTTATGTGTTCTGTTTTAGTTGCAACTGTTGTGAGTATTGTGGGTCCGTACTAATCAAGGTAATCTCAACCAGTAAGCGTATAACATCATGTCAAAAAGAACTTGTATTCACTAGTATCAGAGATTATCAGAACTACATTTAATTGGGCCTAGAAGGAGTCTACAAATTTAGTCACTGATAAATGGATATCCCCTAAAGTCAGCCGTGTGTAGATAACTAACTTATTTTCACTTCCTTGGTTCTCCCTATTTATTCTTATTGATTATTATATAAAACGTTGTTTTTGCAAAATAAAATATCTTTTAACTCATATCCAAGCTGGAATACGAGTTAAGTGTTATCGTAAGCTGAATCAAAGTAAAAGAGGTTATTCACAAAACGCAGAAACAAAAACCTAAAGAAATCTAGTACTGACGAAATGATGAAGAAGCATTTTCTTTTGAACTGAGAGGAAATACACTGTTTAACAGAATTTATAAAAATAAATCATGCATAGTCCAAATTATATCAGTATATGAAATCGCTAGTTCATTAAATTAGTCTCATTTTTATAAGTACCTTGCTCATTCATTCAAGCTTTGTGTTCACCAACCACACGTAAATTCAGCCGAAATTAAATTTGAAGAACTAAGATCAAAAGTTAATATTCAGTCATGAATCGCATTTTGAAAGTTTACATTTAAAACGAACCAGGTGATCAATCAAACACCGCCACGGGATTTCACATAAACACTGAGGTTACAAAGCCCAGTTGAAGATGATAGCCATGAAACCTCAACATTAGAGTGTAAGCACAGTGATGAAAGATATCGATCTATGCTTCATAAGTTAAACTTTATTTTCTCAATCGTTCTAACAGGAATTTACAGCCGTACTTTGTGAATTTTTGATAGTTGATGTTTCAAAACTTACATTTCACTGAAGTCATTTCATTTTTTTGAGAATCTTCTCAACTTCAGGAAATATTTTGAAGTTAGAATATGCCATAAACCTGCAAAATTCCATTTTTAAGATTAATCCTTCCTGGGTCAGATGCAAAAAATTTCTGGCAGATTTTTTTAACATAACCAAGTACCCCTTTATTGAAAATAGATTTTCTCCATAAAATTCTCAGATAGATTATTTATTAGACGACTGATGAAAATTCAAAATATATCCTCTTTTAAACAGAAAGCGCATCAACAACAGTCCAACAATATTCAAGAATGTGAAAGGAAATTGTTGTTCAGATAACTAAACTGTCTGTGTGATCTTATATTATAGGTTCTTCTGTAGCTGTATTACCCTTGTCTTTTCTGTTTATCTGGTTAATTGTTACATAGACCATAACACAGTTTTCACATAACTATTTGGGTATAGTATAACCATCAGCAATCAACAAACTCGAAACAATAATATGTATCCTTTATCTTCTCCATGTCCACCAGAAACAGTCCATTTTTTAGTTAAAATTTTTATTACTTAACTTTATTTATTGTGTGAACTTCCGGTTTTTTTCCTATCTTAATCTATCATTGTGTTAGGTAGCTTCATTTTATTACTGACTGTATGTGAACCATTGACAGGGATTAATTCTGGAATTTCCCTCCTCTTTCGTTTCAGACTCACAAGTGTATATTCTAATTAAATAACTTCACATGCTACATCCCACACAGACTTATTGTTTGGAGAAATGAAAAAATAATAACTATTTATTTATTTATACATTAGTGCAGCAGGGATACTTCTCATGTTTACTAAAACGGTAACTCTGTACAAGATCTCGTACTATGAAGAAAGCAGCTATCGATTTCCATCTTCAGGCACATTTTCGAGTCAAAGAGAGGCGTGCTCAACAAAACAATCAATTCACAAGAAGCTCATTGGCATTTGGTAGAATTTAAGTAAGCACAGTTTTGTTCAGTGTGATACCACAGAATCTGAATAAAATGTTTATTTAACAGGACCATGTGTATCTCTACAGCTGATATGATACATGGTGATAGAAAATACTGCCTGCTTCACTTGAAGAACGAGTGTGAGAGATGATCAGTTTCGAAGCCTTAAAATTACTTTGTACCAAAGAAAGATGTCCATATTAACCGACCACAAAAGGGATTGGAGGAGGAACAAATAGTGGGATTTCGATACACGGACCACAGTCTGTGATCAATGAAACAAACTGTGTATCCTTTATTATTCCCACTCACTGTCGAACTTTAACACACCCAAAAAACTGATTGTTATTGTCCACTGCAATTCATGCATACGCAACTGTAGAGCTATGAAAAAGGAATCGTTGAAAAGAGAAATTCCTCCTCTGAAATCCTTGTTTTTATGAACAATATTCTTCAAAGCGAATATTAACATGTAGACTGGAGTAACTGTGGTAGAATTAATACAATTATAAACATCTAGATTTGATAATAATGCTGAAATACGGGGAAACTACCGAAAAACAACTAAGTAAATTTGACGTATCTAAACTGCAAAGGAATAAATAACAAGATTTTAACATATCTGATAGAAACCCATAAGATAGTTCGAATACTCTTCACCAAGATTAATACTCAAATATGATTTTCGCTCTAAACATATCCTGAGAAAACTAACATTATGTCAGATAAACTAATACTAACAATAGAAGTAACATTTTAAAGAAAAGAGGGAATGTAAGGAAAATTATAAACGTTAGATTATTGTATGGTGCTAAGGTGGATCAAAGCCAACTACTGTCTCCTTTTGTATAACTAGATCGGGATTCTCTAGTCTGATTGCTCGTGCGGGATTAAACAAAACCAAAAACGCCTTTATCATCCTGCTTAGTAATAACTATAAAGCTTTTATTCAACATAACCGTATGATCACAGTCCAATAAACATCATGTGACTGATCTACTTGGGATGCCATCATCACTACTAGAATGCATTAAATGCTGATGCGTATCTGTTGTCACAGTGGTCAAGCATTTTTGTGCATTTAATCTTATAATGGAGTTGCAGAAATAATAGTGTTGGGTATTCAGCTGATCAATCCCACCAAAATTTATGAATTCATTAAATACTGCCTTTTTCACAGCTGTTGCTTATACACATAAAATGAGCGAAGTGGAGAGGTTTACTTATCTACCGACCACTGCGCATTTGGTAACGGGGAGTAAAGCTATTGCCACAAGTGCAGTTATGTTGACTTGTTGGTTATCTGCTTATGCAGATGTAACTGTGACTTCAAATTCACTATCGGTACGTACTATTTTAATCCGCTAAATACAAATAGTTTCCATTTTCTTCTGCTTGTTCACCGCTAAATATTTTTTGCACAGCTAAGTACTTGGAAAAGTCATTCA